AAAATGAGATGGTCAGCACATCTATATGTGACTATTGCCTTGTTTGGATAGCCAAAATATTGCAAGCCTCTTGAACGGTGTTCAGTCTGTGACAGAACTGAAAGACGCATTAAGCCTTTTTTGTTTTGTTTTAATGCTTTGGAATCTTTGGAGTGCAGTCACATAGCTTCCATGCAGAACAGGGATGACTGCAGTTGTTTTCACATGGTGGTATTTCTTGCTCAGCTTGCCTGTAGTGTTAGTGTTTAGGCAGAGATGTCTCTGAAGCCTGAAGTAAAAATAACACAGTTACTTAAAAGCCAAACCAACCAAATAAAAGCACCAACTTCAGATTATATGTTCTATACATAGAATTGGCCAGGGCTTGTTCTGTACAAAAGTCTGACATGTGGAAGTACCTTAGGTGAATCTGTTGGCATAGCAACTTAGACTGAGTGGAAGAGTGCCATCATAGTCAGAAAATAGTCCTATGTTGTGATATTATTGCATGCTACTGCCACTTCTCTGCATACAAGGTCCTCTGGGGTTCACATTAAACTCATAATGATTCGGTTCCAGTTTCTGAGAACATTTGGTCCCTGTAGCACATATACTGTAGCTTAATGTAGATTTTACAGTATCACAGTCACTCCCATAACAGCAGGATGGCACCTAACCTTGCAGTTACCATGCTGACAATGGGCAGAAGGTCCATCTTACCTCCAACACAGTCGTATGGTTCTTGCCTTCATCATCATCAACTGATAGTTTATTATTGCTTCTCTCAGGATTGTTCAAAGGCTGCAGAAGTTACTGGATGTGATACCAGGCTGTTCCTTGCTATTTGGGATAAAGGGGGTAGGAGTATCTGTTCTCTGGGGGAGGGAAACAAGGGCATTACAGATACATACGAAGCACTTGTATACGGCAGCATTGAGACTCAAGTTTGTCTAATGAGGAAAACCAGGATATCAATGCCTTACACTTGGTCAATGCAGATGTGCTGTTATGAATTATTTTTTTAATGTAAGATTTTTGTCATCAACATCAATGGATAAGCGGTCATTGCTTTTGAGCCTTGTCTTTGGAGATCTATTTGTATCTATGCACCCATACCTGAGTAGTGCAACTCACTGCAGGTCAAAAGATTACAAACTCCAATGACTGTGGTGGGAGAACTCACAAAAGTTTATGGTTCTTCACTTGTGTATATTGTATTATACAGAGAAATTCAGTGAGTGTTAGAGTGCCATGGAAACAATCTTTGTAGTTCTCTGAATTCTCCAGCTCTGTAATGAACAGACACTGCAGGATTTCCACCACTGACCATCAGAGTGCTTTCTGTAGTCCAACTTCCTTATTTTTTGGTGGCTGGTTATTTTCTTCTTATTTATAGTTGTGATACAGTTGGAATCCCTGTTAATGTCTTCTGCAGAAAGAGGCAGAGAAGGTTGTATGTCAGGCAGAGAAGGTTATATGTGATGTATAAGGTCAGTCATGGGATTATCCTTCCTGAGTGCACAGAACTAAGATGAGGCAATTAGTAAGAGAAATAATAAACAACTTTGAGGTAGGGACAGAAAAAATGATGCAGAGAGGACTGGTTTGGCTCTTCCTGGGTTGATGCAGCCTTGTCTTCCTAAGGCTGAAAGCCAGGGCTCACAGGGATTTGCAGCCCTAAATTCTGGTCTCGGGGAGAGGGGAAAAGGAAGCAGTCCAAGGAATGCTGGCAAAAGCTGCCAAGCATGCAGCAGGGAAGGCCTGTGAGCAATAGTGCCTGTCTCTCCTAGTCAAAGATCTGGGTTTGCTGCACTAAGGGGACTTTCCAATCATCACTTGTGAGCTTTATAGAGCTGAGGGAAAGCATGAATGTTTTAAGACTCATTATACTGCTGCTTTGTGCTTCAGGGTTGACATAGCTATTAAGGCAATGCTCAATGCTTTGAATTCTGAAAGCCACAGCGCTTGTTTCAGATCTCAGAAAGAGGTTAGCATTTACAATGTGCCACGTCCTTATTTAATCAAAGCTTTACGTGGAGACTCTAGAAGAATAAGCTGTGCAACATAGCACATGCGTCAACATTTTACGTATCAAGTGAGGCAGGTGCTTTTAACCGAATGGAAACCAACCTCTGCTAGCATGTCAAAGACTTGTATTACAAAACTTAAAGCTTCATTGTACAGAAGTTCTGTTTGCATCTTTTATAGGAAGAATGTAATAAACAAGGTTTTCTGATACTCTGCTGGTCTGGAATCACTAAGGATCACTCTGCATCAGCAACACAGTCAACAGAGCCTCTCAGCTGAAGTCAGTGAAACCTCCCTAACTTACGTTGGTAGGGCATGGAGACTCTAGCAGTAGTATTTCTTTTTCAGATAGTCAAAGGGTAGGAGATACCAAAGCCTGTAGCAGCTGTGCTGAACGCAAAGCCTTGTGCAGACTCTAATGATCTAATGGAAGCCCTCTGCAGGATTGCAGCTGTAATAATCATGACTAATAACTTGCTCTTGGATCCTTTTACTCAGCAGTCTGAAAGTGCTAACTGCTACCTAAATATAGATGAAAATGTGACTCTGAAAGATTAAGTATATTTTTTTCAATCTTTCTTATGAAAACGAAAGCTGGACACCTTGTGAGAAAAGTCTCTTGTATAAAACCTTCAGATATGAGTGCTTTGTGGTTTCAGCTGGATTGACACATTGTCAGCATTTTCTGACATTGTAATGGATAAAAATAAATATATGCTTAAGCTTAGTGTGTTGTGTCCTGTTCTGAACAAAAATGAAAATACTAATTAGAAAAAGGTGTGTGAAGAACAAACTCGTCTGGAGATTAAATGCTGCTGATTGAATAATGCATCCAACTGTCACAGCAACAGTTTTTTAGTGACTTGAACTTCATGAATATTTACCAGAGTTGTCCTGGGTGAAAGAGATTCAAAGCACTCCTTTCAGAGAACTGCTAAAGTCTTGGGTCTCCTTTACTAGGAGCAAATATTTGCCATGTTAGCAAAGCACTTGTTGAGCAAAGGGAAATCGATGGGATTATTTTGCTTTACATGTGCAGAGTATCAATGCTGTCATCTGCGGTGGTATGGATACTCGACAAACACCGTGTGAATAATCTTCTATTTAGGAAGAACACATGGCCATCAAGCAACATTTCTGTATGCTTAAACCTCACCTTGCGAGGAAGGATATAACAGCTGGTGATAAATGCCATTTACACCTTCCCCATGATAAGCTCTTAATCAGTGCTCATCCTTTTTATCACTGCCACTGTCTGTGAAAGGGGTGCTGTGGTCCTGGGCAGCAGTGTTCAGTATCAGGATATGGAGCCTGCAAGACACAGTTGGTCTGGCTGTTCTCCCCTTCCTTTTAAAAGCAACTCACTCAATCTGCAGGCTCTTCCTTGACCACCCTCTGAACTGAATTTCAGCTGAATTGCTACAGGGCTTGCTAGGACATGAGGAGATTGCTGCCCTGTTTGGCATTAATATGAACATGAGTGTTTACCTCGGGAAAGTCATACTTCGAGCTAGCTGAGAATAATAGCTCTCCTGCGCCAGGATAGACTGGATTTATTTATTATAACATTTCTTACATGCTGGAGGGCTAGGACATCGTGGGCCAAGGATTTCATGGAAGCTGAACTCAAAGTGAAGGCCTGTCTTGCACTAGACTGCTCAGACAGACATTTCTCTGTTAATTTGAATCCTACATATTTATTACTGTTGTGATTCCAGATCATATGTACCAACAAAATAAAACAAAGTGTGCCAATTGTTGTAGAAGAAAGTCATGTTCTAGCAGTGCAGCGATGGAATTGATTGAGAGCTGAAAGTTTAGTATTATTGAAGCCTGTTATCTGGAAATTTCTGCTAAAGTACTGGTAATAGCACTTCTGTCTGAAATACAGATTTCATTTGAATTTGCTTAGTTCAGTTTTGTCGTTTTGAAGAATTCTTTCTGCAGTCTAGGAAGAGCCTAGGAAAGAAGTTAACGCAAGATTATTTCTAGAATTTCATAGCAGTGACATTTGCCTGTGTAATATTGCCTCTGAGTAGAGATGCAGCTGGCTGTTCCAGTGGGGTATTACATCAGTGCTGGAGAAATCTGCAAACAGTCAAGCTTTTTTATTAATAATTCAATGGAAGAAAATATTTCTTTGGTATTTCATTTGTCCTAAACCTCTACTTTTCACACTATGTTAGTGCAAAAAAATGCAGTTGAATTTTATCAATAAGCTCTGTTTCTCACTGTTTGACTTTCTAAAACCACTGCCCTTTTTTTATACAGTATTTTCAACTCATTTAGATGGTCATAGTAGAGAAGAATCTGTTTAAGTCCTTTATTACAAAGATCAAAAGTCATGTTTACCATTTACATACACAATTTACAAATTATTCACAAAGGGAATAACAGATATGTAAGAACTGACAGCTTACTTCAGCCCAAGTTGGGGATGGGACAGTGTAGTTGTTTCCCTGCTTTATTTACTGAAACAAAAGATATGTTTGTTTTTTGTTGTCTGTATGTGTTAAACACTGATCTAGTGTTTATGTAGCACCTTTAGTCATAACCATGCAAATGCTTACATGCTTACTTTTATTTGAAAGAGTGCAATGCATGTATACGCGTGCACTGGAATCTGCACTCTTCACACTGCTGAGTGTTAGTTGGTCAGAAATCCTGTCCATTTTGATAGAATACAGGGGTTAGGCTTGAAAAAGTTGATTTGTGGGATTTCACTGATTTGAGCCATGTGTTGTTAAAACAAAAATGGAGATTACTATCAGAACTCTTACTCCAAGAACCAAATTCAGTATGACTGCTGTATCTTTCAAGAATACTATATGATCTTAAGATAGATATTAGCCATGTTGTTAGATGTCTTTGATACAACTGATTTATTGCTTTTCCTTCATTCCAGGTTAGCACGTTTTGTACTGTTTCCTAAAGCTATATCAGAGACTGGGAAGGTTAATGACAAAGAATCCTATTTTGAGAGATTTGGTAAATTAGCAAATTTCACAGAATATCTTACAGCACTTAATGAAAGGGAGAATGAGTTTCCATATCTCCTGGTATGAAAGGACAATATCAACAGTGCAGTAGCTGCCACTTAGCTAAACCTACAAATATCCATAATTTGCACTTTTTGCTGTCCACTGGGATGACATGTACGACAAAATGCCTGAAGGAGCACACCGATTGAGGAGCAAACACAAATATAAATACAGAAATCACCGATGTGATGTTGCATCCAAATTCTAAGCAATAAAGCAAAACACTTCACAAAAGTTGTTACATCTAGTGGAACCGTTCAATGGGAATAATCCAAATACTTATGACTATTATGATGGTATGACTTTCTACCCAGCTATCAAATATTCTTCACTATGAACTTTTCAGTGTTCTCAGGGTGACAGATAAAGAATGTTGTAGATGCCATGGTAAACTTAAAATACAGTAATAGGCAAAGATTTTAGTGGCACCACCAGTATATACAACGTAGTAGTTGGGACAATATGGAACACAGCAACATTACAGTATGCCTTTGTTAAGGCTTCTCGCTGGTTTAAAAAGGTAGATTTTTCTTTAGGGAGATTGTCCAGCAGTATTGGTTTCACATCTCTTCAGTGGAAGGTCTCTTTATTGATCCACATAAGACTGCGTGTTTCATTTGGTTTGCATTCGTACTCAATACTGCCAAAACTGTTTCCCCATTGGCAATGATCCCGTTTGTGGTAGTTGTAGAATTTGACTTGCCAGACTGTTTCAAAAACGCCAATGTCGTTAAACTGCGAGGAAGAGGGAATATCAGTGTTAGTGAGCTGATTATTTTGTTAGTTTCTCTCTCTCAATGAGAAACAACACTCTTATGAAAGTGCAGAATGTGAAACAGCTGATGGAAGGGTTATTGTTCCTCAAGGCAATAAATCAAAGATCCGTAAAGCCTGCTCTAGCAGTCTTAAAGTCTTTTATGCTTAGGCATACATAAAACATGAAGGATCAGATTTTCCATGTACTGTCCTTTTGCACTTACATCTGGGAAGGGCAAGGGAGTAAAAATGCTTGAGTTCCCATATGGATGAGTGTTACTAACAGCAAGAATCAAAGCTATAATCCTTCTTAAGATGACACAGCAGTAGTAGGCCCGATGATGTCAAAGTGTTTTGTATGTACTGTAGATGACGTAGCAGTGATCTGTAGTGATACAGGCCATCACTTCACCTTCATACCATAACTAGAGGCTGCAATTAGGATTGGGAAGATTCCATCTTTTGCTCAATCTGAAATCTTTAATGTCCCTGTATCTTGTAGTCTTGTGTTTGCAGTGTCTTGACTGAGACATGCTATTAGACCACTTACTCCTTCTGTGGGATTCTGTTCCGTTTTTTATGTGAAACTTAAGCAAAAGAAGTTCTTTGGGCATTTCTGTAATTGCTAGTTGTACTGTGATAGTGCAGCTTAGATGTGAGTAACAGAAGCTAGGAAGGAGATAATCGGTGTGTTTAGCAGATAAGTGTCTAATACAGTGAAGTAGTAGTGAGACTTTGACTGTAAGTTATCTGATTGTGATTGCAACTTTGAAGTGAATGAGACTATGGCTATAGTAAGTTCTGTAGAATAAAATATCTTTTTTTTTTTGTTTAGCCACTGCTAGACACTCTTACAACGTCAGAAAAACCTTATAAGTGAGGCTTTCAAGGATAGATTATGGTTTAAATTATAATGATGCTGTAAAATCTGAGTTCCCGTGCCATGAGACCTTGCAGAGAATCTGAAGCATGGGTGTGAAGCCTGTATGTATGGCTGTTGGACCCAGTAGTATGGCTTGTTGATTGTTGTTATGGTATTAGAAGATACTACATAATGGATTTGGCGCTACTGAAGAGCACTGTTCTTCAACATTTTTTCCTTTTAAATATTTCCATCACTCACTTTAATGACAGCTTCTTCACTTGACTGTTTTCCATTCCCATCATGTGTCTGAGAGCTGACCTTTGATCATCTGCCTATTATAATCACACTTACAATGTCAGTATGAAAGCTCTTTTACACAGTGAACTCATCCTGAGTTACAAGCAGAGGCTTCTTTATCCAGTTTTCTCAGAAGGACGTGTATTATTTTTAATTCAAGATGCAGTTTGTAAGCTGCTGCTGCATAAAGGATGTTGCTTTAAACCTTCCCCCAGCCCACTTGAATTTAGCCTTGACAACAGCAGGAGTTGCTGTGTGCTGTCAGTGGAAGGTTTTTTATTTGGCTCCAGTTCCAAGTGTTGCCTTAAAGAAGTAGCTGAAATATTTCTGCTACTTCCTTTGACAAAGAAAGAATCAGATGTACAGGCTATTTTATCTCTCCCAGTAACTAAAACCTTAATTAAGGATTTTTTTTATTAATCATCTTTGATAGTAATCCTGATACACTCATAATGCAAGGTTAAGCACATTGGCTATTACTGTGCACAATCCACAAAGAAATTGTCAGAAAGAAGCATCAGCCACACTCAGTGTGGAAACTGAGGAAGAAAAGGCATTTCTAATAGCATTTGTGGAAGGTGATATGATACAAGAGCAGCATTTCATTTCATTATGTATGGAGGATCTGAATTTCGACAAGACAGAGAAAGAAAACAAATTTTGTCTTCCTCCAATGACCCAATTTTCCAAGCTACTCTGAGCAGTTTGACTGCTGTGGATTTCCAAGAGAAGGAAAGAATTAGTTGCAGAATTAATTTTCTGCTACCATGTGTGCCTCCTCCCAGCCCAATACTTAGCAGATGCAGCAGCTCTGTGGAATAATGAGCATTCTGCATCCTCAGAGCTCCCTTGAATTCCCGTGGCTCCTGCAGCTGAATCCTAGCTCCTCCACTGGGCCTGCATACAGGCTTCCCCAGGGAGGAGGGATGGCCCTACTCTCTGTAGGTTGGACTTAGAAGCCTATTTCCCTGTCTGCTATTCTCTGTTATCCAGTGCTGTAGGCATGAATATTTATTTAATCACTCCCTCTAAATTTGCATGCTGGGATGATTTGATGGCTATTTATTACTGGGAACAGAGGTCTAGCTTCTTTATTCAGTCTGACCAAAAATAAAATGAGACCCAAAGAGAGGTTTCTAACTTAGTTTACACCATTTGCGAGGCAGTTCAGCAGTTTCTGGGCAGTATGCGTAGCTGAGCATTCAGGTAACAAATGCATGCTCATATTCTGGAATTCAGAAAAAGGATTGTTGGTTTACATGTATAACTATGTCTGTTAGCAGGTCAGATGTCTACTAGCCAGCTAAAGTAGGAGCACAAGTAATTATTTGTCTAAAGTTTTAAGGCAGGTGGGAAATAAATTCTTACAGACCTTCTGCTTTTCAGGCATTAGATTGGCAGTATCAGACCAGTTTTTAACTGCAGGATTGACCTCACAATCTATTTCTAATGTGAGTTCAGGTATTATGCCTTAAATAGTGTCCTAGGATGCATCAGGATCCTGCCTGTTCTAGAAAAGAAGGCAGAAGTTCCTCATAGCTGCAGGAAGTAGGAAAATTTAAAGCTGTATGCAATTCAGCCTGGTTTTGAGGATTCAGGAAGTAGGTATTAGACGCAATTTTCAGATTGGTGTATCTGAGGCTGGTTCCCTAAAGCTGTTGCGGCTCTATCTAGCTAAGCAGCTAAGTGATCAGTTAAACATGTAAATCCCTGATGAGTTCCCTATATTTAATACTTCAAAGTATCAATCGTGGACATCTAAGTCCGTACTGAAGAACCTATCTATCAAGATCAGATCCAAAAAGGGGTTGAGGACCTGCTTAATGCTTGAAAATCCTATTAGCTTCATGGTTAATATCCCAGGATTTGATTTGTAAAAGCAACTGTTTGGACAAATATTGTGGCTACTCATTCTGATGCTGCAACAAACCATCTTAGAGCTTGTATCTGAAAATCAGACCTTCCTTGCATTTCTTGGAATTACTTAATTTGTGATTTGACTTACTTTTCTCCATAAGAAAAGTTAAACTTCCCAATTTTCAGAGTTCAGATCAGTGGTACACTGAAGGGTAAAGGTGGCTGTCAAAATAGGGATGCCTTAGTCAAAGCAGCTGTTTTTTGGGGAGCGCTGTCCTTTCACCTCCTGGTATAAGGACATTGTGAAATATAACTGCAATACTCAACAGTGGCCCAGCAGCCGTGTTCTGCTGGTTGAGAAGTCGTACTGAGTGTTTGATCTTCCTGGGTGTTAAGTGACTGTGTAGAAAAGTGATAGATGTGGACGAATACTTCAGGGTAGTCTTGTTAACCTAAGATATAACTGCTAATGTGATGTGGCCCTCCAAAATTAAGTTATGCATGCTGTAATTATTAGAAACTCCAGATAGAGATGTTCTCATTCAGAAGGGGATTGCCATGCTAAGTGATGATTCCAGAACAAAATAGTGAAGATAAAGATCAAGACGAAATTTTGAGTGCAGTAAGCAAATGTGAGAAAAAGTTGAAATCTGGTGGGCTAGGCAAGGTCTTAAACTTGTGTAAGTTGGAACAGACCCTTAAGAAAGCTTCAGATGATGGTGGCTTACTGCCCGATTTCCCCTTTTTGGTACAGGAGACAGAATAAACAGCAGGAATCCCTCAAAATTGTAATCAGGAGAGGGGAAAACACCCCAAACAACCAAACCAAAGCCAGAACAGAACAAATCTCCCTCTGCACCCCGAATGCACCACCCAAAGAGTGCTGTGGAAATCTGGCTGCTGCTGTTCCACCTTACGGGCTGGAGCTTTTGTCATCTTACTTTAGGGCCATGGCATTCTGGCCTCTGGAGCTTCCCTTTAAGGTTGGGGTGAGGAGCCACTTGAATAAGAACTTAGGTTTGGGGATGCAGAGATAATGTGATAATGGAAGCATATGGAGAAAGAAATGGAGAAGACAGCCTTTGGGGGGGAATGTGAGGTGTGGTCTTAGCATGCTTTCAGCCTCTGGCAGGCCCTCAGGCATCCTGTAGAGGACAGGTGGAAGGGGAGAGTAGTCACCCCTTGTGCTTGGGGCATGCCTTGCTCCAAAAAACCTGGCAGTGCTGGCAGGCAAAAGGGGTATCCCTGGTATGCCAAAGGCCAGGGATGTTGGTTGGAGTTGCCTGAAGTCTGTAATATGTCCTGCAGAAGAAGCAAGAGGTTCAGCTCACATTTCTTTCTGCTGCAGCACCCTAAAGGGCTTTGCAGGTCTCTAGAAATCCCTCTACTACTTCCTGGCCCTTGCTGTTCTCTTGGGGCTTGTGTTTTCCAGCTGTATTCTGACTAGTGGTCTTCCTGATGTAAAACAAAGAGGAGGGCAGCAGCTGTGATCAGACTTTGTGCTCGAATCTTTCACCTCCACAGCCCTTTCTGGACGTCAGCCCCCTGCTGCCCTCCCGTGTCTTCCCATGCCAGGCTCCCACTTCGTGGAGAACCACGTACCTGCATGTTGACCTGGATGGGCTGTCTCTCCCCACTCTTGGTATGGGGCACCCCTTCTGTGTCGTAGATCCCTGTGTAAGAGGCCACCTGTGCATCCCTTGATTTCTCTTCCAGTGGGACATTGACGCCCCCGATGCCCATTGTTCTGCAAAGAGATGGGATCCAGCCTTTCAGCAGCCCTGCAATACCCCCTTCCCTGGCAGCGTGGAGCCAGCATGTGGGCTTGCATCCTGGCAGCCTCTGTGCTGGGGGATGCTTCAGGGATTTTAGCAGATCTGCAGGTGCTGCTGACTCACTAGGGCTCCTGAAACATGTCAGGGCTCTGCAGTCAACGAGGGAAGGTGTAGAAAGGAAAGGCAGGAGGGATCTGTTCTCGAGTAGCTGGGGGGAGAGGTTAGTTGACTCTCTTCTCTAGGGCTGCCCCTCCATCCAGAGCCAGTTCCCCATCTGCATCCTCCCTGGTCCCAGTCTATACGACTGAGGCTTGGGCATAGTGCATCCCTGATGTGCAGGGCCAGAGGGGCCTCTTCCCTCTGCCTCCAGGGCAATCCGTGGGGAAGGAAGGAGAGAAAAGGAGCTGAGCTTGAAGGAGCTCCAGGAGAAGGTGGGGAGGGAGAGGGATAGAAGCGACTCCCAAACGCGGCCTCCCTCCCCAGCCAGTCGGGCAACGCACCAAGAGCAGCTGGCCAGGGACCTAGAAACGGGGCCACCAAAGCAAAAGGGTGGGGAGGGAGAAATCACGGAAACCCCGCGCTGTCAGCCTGCCAGGAAAAAATATTAAACCTCTAAAAATAAAGCAGCAGGGAAGGGAGGGCCGGGGGAGCCGCCCCGAGCAGGGAGGGCTGCACTTACGTGGCCTGGACGGTGCCGGGCCGGAGGGCCACCTCGATCTTGTACTTGGCTCCGGTCAGCAGCTTGATGGTGCGGTTCTGGCCGAAGCGCTGCCCGTCCACCTTGAAATACACCGCCCCGTCGTTGGGCTGGATTTT